GATGGGGCATGTGACAGTTTCTTACACCCCAGAAGCTGGCGAGGAGCGACTCGTCTCAGCTGACTGGTACCCAAAGCCGGGATGCCATTTAGCTGTCCTGGCACCCATTTGCTCCTGCAGCGCTGGATAAAAGCTTTTCAGACTGGTTTCACACTAGCTTGACAGTGAGACATTTATCTGAATGTGAAAAAGCCCGATCTGCAGAATGAGAGCCTGTGCAACATCTGGAGGGGGATGGCGCTTGTGTCACACTGGAAGCAAACATCTGGAACCCAAGAGAGATTCTTCGAGAAGACAATTGCTCTTTCTCTTGATAACGATGCCTGGTCACCCAGGGTCTGTTTAACAAAGAACATGTGGAGAGGCAGGGTGCTGGCTGCTTAGATCTCAGACTCTGTCATGAGTGAATCTGACCAAAAGGGGGCAGAGTGATGAAGGCATCTTTACAGGGAACAGGGGGAAGGGTGGGCGTGGCAGCTGTTAAGACCACATGAAGATGTATTTGAAAGCTCATTTGTGCTGGATTCAGAAGGGCCACCCCCTCAACAGACCCTGAATGCCAGTGAGTCTCCCACACGTCATTATGCTACCTTCACCAACTCTGCTCCTCGGCATCACTTCAGACTTCACCCACAGCCCAAAGACCCTTCTGAAGTAAGCTTTAGCGGTGCTGTATGTAAAGGGAAGCTTCGTGGTGGCCGAAATGTGGAAAACACAATAGAAGAAGTAGGCAAAGCCACACATTATACACTGTACCTGTACTATAAGCTTTTGACTCTCCAGCCCTATGGCGAAGGTCGAGATCCAGCTTGTTCCTGTTAAATGGATGAAGGACAGTTCCGCACCGCAAACCGAGAATGGGCCCATTGTCCTGTGATGAAGCAAGCGTGACCAGACCAAACCGGGTCATGGTTCCTTTCAAGCTTTAGCCAAAGGGATCGCTGTGGGTGTTCGCTCCGTCTTGGCAAAAAACAGCATTGGAAAACACCCCTGCTGAGAGCAGATGAGGGCCATGCGATCTCGGGCGGGATCCAGCCTGGTGGAGTGAGTGCCGTTGTGTAATGCAGTTCCCCAAACCACTGCCTTTCACTATAAGGATCTGAAATCTGTCCAGAAACAAACCAGACTGACCCACATAACGTAATTATGCTGAACCACAAAGTCCAGGCAGAGATGAGCCGGCTGCAAGGCTTCACAGAAAGCCTGCAGAGATACAGTGCCCTGGAACATTGCTGGTTTGTCAGGTGTTCAAACTGATGGTTTTTACAAAATCACAAGCCTGAGTGTGTATTGTTTTCCTCTTGTTAAAGTTGATTGCCAGTAGCAACTATCCATCCATCCATTTTCCAACCCGCTTATCCTACTGGGTCGCGGGGGGTCCGGAGCCTATCCCGGAAGCAATGGGCACGAGGCAGGGAACAACCCTGGACAGGGGGCCAGCCCATCACAGGGCCAGTAGCAACTAAAGATACTAAAAACATTTTTTACATTTCTTGCATGGATTATTCTACACAGCCCAATGTGGTAACCCTGGGTGCTTAACTGCTCTGGGTATTTAATAACTCTTGGTAATTTCTAACTCTGCAAACGCGCTAACCCTGGGTACGTGCTAAGTAAATCTGGCTATGTGCTAACCCTGGGTATGCGCTATGTGCTAATCCTGGGTACGTGCTAATTAAATCTGGCTATGTGCTAACCCTGGCTATGTGCTAAGTAAATCCTGGCTATGTGCTAACCCTGGGTATATGCTAAGTAAATCTGGCTATGTGCTAACCCTGGGTATGCGCTAAGTAAATCTGGCTATGTGCTAACCCTGGGTACGTGCTAAGTAAATCTGGCTATGTGCTAACCCTGGGTACGTGCTAAGTAAATCCTGGCTATGTGCTAAGTAAATCCTGGCTATGTGCTAACCCTGAGTATGTGCTAAGTAAATCCTGGCTATGTGCGAACCCTGGGTACGTGCTAACTCTGGCTATGCACTAACCGTGGGTTCTCGCTAATTAGCTCTAGATACGAGCTAATGCTGGCAGTAGCCCACCAGCTGCTTTTAACCAGGAGTCTTGCAGGCTGTCATGCATAAAACGGGCTGTTTGCTAGTCAGTGTGCAGCTGCTGGCTTTGAGGAATTCAGGTTCACTTTCTAATCAGACGTCTGGCTCTGTGACACCAGCAGCACCTGCTCCGTCTGCAGTGCTCTCTGCACAGCCAGTGCTCTCTGCACAGCCAGTGTTCTCTGCACAGCCAGTGCTCTTATTACGTTAAGCGGTGCAGTCTCCCCGCCCCCCACCCAACCATGGCCGCTTTCACAAAACTCGAATCCAAGTGCCGGCAGGGTGTTTAATTGCTAATTAATTAAAGTAGGTAATGAAAGTGTGGACCCCCGTGGGAGTTTGCGTGTCGTAAAGCTCGTAGGTTAATTACACGTAGCCTCCATCAGTAGCTGCGGTGCGAGTCCCCAGCTTGCTGTCAGGCCCAATTTATTGATCCACTCCCAGCTATACGAATATAGATAGATTGCTAGCAAAATATTTCCAGATGTGCGCACTTACGTGTAACTGCGTAAAAAGCCTATTTTAAATTCAAGCTCGTTTGGGGAGAACTTAACTAATAGCTCAGAGTTGTTCAAATCTTATCTAGCTCTGATTTAAAGGAACCCAGGGTTTTAGCTTCCGCTACACTAGCAGGAAGACTATTCCATACTCTAACTACACGCTGTGTAAAGAAGTGCTTCCTCAAATTTGTTTTAAAATGTTCTCCCTCTAATTTCCACGAGTTCTAGTATTTAAACTAATATTGAAATGGCCATTTGCCTGTACAGCATCCAGACCCATTAGAATCTTATAGACCTGGATCATGTCCCCCCTTAGTCTCCTTTGCTCCTGCTCCTTTGCATTCTCGTAGCCCTCCGTTGCACCTTTTCTAA